AATATAACGAGATGTAGTTTGCACGACATGAATGTAACCTGGCAGCCAAGGGGAGGAGACTGGAATGCACATGGGTGAACAATGACAACTTCACTGTACTAGTCAGTTGGGACAGTAGATATCACTGAGTGAACATGTGTACTGTGCAGCCATCACATTCAAAATGACTGAGCGAGTTGAGCAATGAATTGGCATCAAATTTCAGGTTAAGCTTGAACATTCCTCCATGGAAACTATGCGGATGATTCTGCAGGCCACTATGGCCAACTAGTGATTGGCAGCCTCACCATAATAATGCACCTGCTCATGCATTACGTCTTGTGCAGAGTTTTTTGGTAAAACATCAAATCACACAGGTGACTCAGCCCCACTACAGCCCAGATTTGGTGCCCTGAGACTTCTGGCTTTTCCCAAAGCTGAAATCATGTTTTAAAGGGAAAAGATTTCAGAATGTTAATGAGATTCAGGAAAATAAGGTGGGGCAGTTAATGGCGACTGGGAGAACTGAGCTGAGGTCCCAAGGTACCTACTTTGAAGGGGACTAAGGTGTCATTGTCCTATGTACAATGTTTTTGTATCTTCTGCAATAAATATCTCTATTTCTCAGCTGTTTTTCATATTACATAGCTGGATACCTTCTGGACATACATAAAATCAGATACAGGACAGGGACTCAACTCAGTATAGGTTTGATTCTTTATAGTTATCCTCATGTTTCCAAATTTCAAACTCATCAAGGAACTAAAGAACATGAAATCACATCTCCAGACCTTCATGTGAACCTGTTTGCCAAATACTCCAGGCCTGAGTGAGCAGCACTGGTCTTGAAAGACGCAAAGCTTTAGGAGGGCAAGGCACCTCTTCATCTAAGGTGAGAGGTGAAACAGAAGCAGATGGGACCATGCAGATCATGGATACAAACGGGCTCCCGTGGTGGGCACCTAGATTTTGACAAACACTGTGAACACCTTGTATCTAACCTCCACAAGCTATTGTACAAGGCAGATACCTTTAAATTCCCATTTTATAGGTGAGAAGCTGTTTCACTGATGAGAGTTGAGACTGACAGAGGTTTAGTAATTTCCTCAAGTTACTCAACTGGTGGCAGATCTAGGTTCAAAATCAGGTCTCTCTGACACGGAACCCCATGTTCCCACCACTGTGCCATTGGGTGGGGAGGGGGTAAAGGGGAGAAGGATAAAGGGGGAGATAAATCATCCTAGCATGAGGTAGGAAAGAACAGAGTGACCTTATTATATGGTGAGTGAGATGCAAACATTTACAATTTAAAAAAGAAAGAAAAGAAAAATAAGGATAGAAAAGTGAGTTCGGACCAGAAAGAACAGAAAGCTAAGGAGTCTGAACTTCAGCCTGTGGGCAATAAGGAATCATTGTTTTGTTTTGATGTATGCGTCCGTTTTTAATTAAATACTACTATTGCTACTAATAAGCATTCAATGAGCATCAACTAAGGACCAGGCTCCACTCTAATATGCATATATTCTTTCTAATACTTACAATTCTGCAATTTGGGTGTTGTTACCTCCATTTCACAAATAAACAAAGTCCTGAGAGGTCAAGCCACTCCCCCGGGTGCCTTCAGTAAATGGCAGAGTGGGGTTCATAGTGTGTGTGTGTGTGTGAGGCCAAGGTCAGTGCCCTTTCCCCTGAAACAGGATTGCACAAAAACCTCCCTTGTTATAGAAAGCTGAACAGTAAGAGAAAAGAAAATGGAACCAGGGAACTAGTCAGAAACAGTTCCCTGTTTCTGCGTAGAGATCTGCAGTAAGAGAATAAAAGCCTCAACTGAGTCACTGTGAAAACAGAAGGGAGATGACAGAGAGCAGATGTGTTCACGACCTTTTCTTTCAGTTATTCCATTTCTCAGTCGTGATCTGCTACCTGAAGAAAAAACCAAGTTAGCAATTATTCCAGTCTCTGTGACGGTCCTTGCCTTCAAGCCCTGATTTGAGCTCTGTTATTCACTCAATAGCAAACAATGTTAACAGGGCTAAAATATGGCATCATCATCTAATCCGTTATCTGTATTGAAGAGTAATCATTCAAGAGAATAAAATGAAGCCTCCACATCCAATAAACCACATTATTTTTCACGTATCAACAACTCTTTGAAAATCTGACTTAAATGCATAGTCTGTCAAATCAAGAGGACACATACCCTGAGCTCTAATGATCTTTGCCAAATCCTACATTATTATTAAGGTTCTCAGAGCCACGTGGTTTTACAAAATGGAGCAAGGTATCAATATTTGTTGGGCTGCTTTCTACTGAATATTCTAGGGAAAGTAGCACAATAAATAAAGCAGTAGGAAATGTAGTCATCAACAATATATCTTTCAAACCAATGCAAAGGCTAACTGGAAAGTTACTTATTTTATCTCATTTGAGAGAATCAAGAATTAAAAGTTTTAATATTCATGTAATGATTACCCCGCCTCTCAAAAAACATTTTTGTACTAAAACCTTGACTATTGTCCTTCTCTTTCAATGACAAATGTCAATATTTTAAGTGGAAATTCAGTTGTATTACAGATACACAGAAGTGAGTTGAAATCCATAAAGAGTACAATTTTCCTATCTATATACACAGTTAATACATAAATATTCCCAACATTTTACGAATTTAATTTGAAACATACAATATGTTTCTGAGATTAAAATGATGAAAGAAATGGCACCTAAGAGCACCCTCATACTAAGGATATATGGTTTGTGCACTGCCTTCACCAGAAGAAAATAGTTACATATGTAAGATAAAGCAAAATGAAAGCATAAACACTCATTTCACAGCTCTTAATTACATAATGATTCTGTGTTTTATGTTTTTTAATCTGTTGGAGTTAATTTTATTCCTATGTGCAAAGACATATGTGGATATAAAAGAATTCTGTTCACCTGTACATACTCAGACCAACCAAATATGGAAAATATAGCAATAAAGTCCTTTCTTTGAAGGTAGGCTTACTACTATGTCACTATTCAGTATAAAGATATAACAACCTTAATAAACAGACCAGAAGCTAAATTGACTTTTTATCTTTTCATTAAGTGAGGCTCCCTGGAAACCTAGTTATACAGATAACTTCATTCATCTTCTCTTCAAATCTGAGTGTTTCTTTAAGCCAGATATAGTCACATCCCCACTAGTTCAGCTGCCAGTCATGACAGCAATTTACTGCAACTCCACCCTTTTCCCACCTTCGGTTTCAATAGTGCATTTATTTTTTTCTCCTATTATAGAAAATTTAAGTTAGGAGTTCAAATCCTCAAAGTAGTTAAGTGAACTGTCACATAAATATTATTTAACCTCAGGGAATTTTCTGTTTAATTGCCACTCTCTCCCTTCCCCCCAAAGGAGTACAGCTTATTTTGATGGTGTAATGGAAAGCACTGCATTAAGAACAAGTAAAAACACATGGGTTTAAATTTTTAAACATCTAACCTTTCTGCAAGTCACTGTTAATCATTTCCACCTGTGACTTTAATAATCAGCCTGACAATTAGAAAAGCAAAACCCCCAGGACAGAACTAGGTAGGGAATGCCCCAATCGCAGCCACTGCTGTATCAGAGAGAGAAGAAAAGAGCTATTTTGCCGTATGTAACATGAAGAAAGTTTTACATGTTAATTCCACCACATCTTGAGAACACTAGAGCTCCCAGTGTTTAAAATCTTCATCTTCTAAAAGTCAAGATTTTTTTTTAACTGCATCTTACTGCATCTTCAAATATTAAGTTTTTAATAAAATTTTCAACTTTAGGTCTCAGGTGGAAAAAAAGGGCTCCTGAATAAGCACAGCACTTGCGGGGCAGGGGCGAGGAGGGGCAAGCTAGTCTTTTAAATCATTCTTCCCAGGGAGAACTTAGGACCATTAACATTACACTGCTTAACCATTTATTTCATTGTGAAAGGCAAACGTGGAGCAAAAGTGGCAATATTCTGAAAATGTGATGGAAGTTGTTCTACATCAATGAACACATAAGCTTGGAATGTACAAATATGGTCTCTGTTAGTTGTAGTCTATTCCCAGCAAGTCACTTTCCCTGTGGGCTGAGGCTCCCATATCATGGAAATCATCCCTAACTGCCAAAGGCTGAAAGGGATTCCCTGAGAACAGCAGCTGGACCACACCTCAGCCTGGTCACACAAGAAGCTGACAAGGGCTGGAGGAAAACGCATCTGGTCCAAAGAAGAGAGGACAGAGCCAATAATGAAAATATGTTCCTCTCCAGTTTGATAGGGAAGACCCCTAAAATGGCTCTTCGTCCAATCCTGTTCTTGTAATCAGTCCTGGCCATCCGCTACCAGATGTTGGTCATTCTGTGGGCTGACTGGTAGGATTTTGTGGTCCAGCAGCTGCCAGCCTTTTATAACCTCAGCAATGTTGTGGAAGCATCCATTTAGCGTATAAATAAGCTTTTTGGCATTAAAACACTGCCAAGTGAAATATTAGAGAACAAACTCCCCACCCACTGCAGAAGAAATTTCCCAGTTTCAAAGCATCTGAGATGAAGATTCCAAATTACCTGTAGCAAAATTTTTTTAGATTTTTTTTTTTTTAATCCTCTTGCTTGCTGAAGAACCTACTGAGAAGACTCCCAAAGGTGATACCCACAGTTCAGGTTATTGGTCCTACATTTATTTACCTAGTTAGGGAAGGAAGGAGGAGTGTTGGATAGTTACCCAGGATCCTTCCACTTGTAGCAGGAATGAACACCAAAAAAGCATTGGGACACTCAACTCCTTAGAGATCCAAAAGCTTTCCGGAGGGATACAGAGAGCTGGCCCTCCCCACCTGCCCCCCAACCCTGTTTCTGCCCTAGCTTTGGAATCAGCAGCCCTTCTGTTATTCCATGCGGTTCCAGAGGTTCCATGGGGCTCCCAGATCTGACCCCAGGAAAGCCGGGTTGGTCATCCTTCTCCCCACCCTTCCAACCTCCACACTCAACCTCTCCCCACCATCCCAGGCCACCTCCTTACCTGATAATGTCGTCGTTGTGTCCCAAGAAGAATTTTTGGCTGTGCTCGCGGGTGTTGTAAACCACCCCGACCCCAGCCACAAAGTAGACCACCTCCTTGCCGGCCGTGTAGTACAGGTTGTTGCGGCACTGGTGACCCCGGTACCCGTACACCCACTCCAGCCGGAGCTGGCAGCTGGGAGCTGTCCGATCCGCCATGATAAGCCGACCCCACTCGCCCCCCGGCCCCCCCGCACGCGGGTCCGCGGCCCCTACGCGCCCGATCTGTCCTCGCCAAGGTTCGGGCTGCGGAGGACCCGCAAAGGGCTCAGTGTGCAGCGCTGGGCGCTGATTTCCGCGGCGACGCACAGACACAGCCCAGCGCGCCGGCCGCCACCATCATCCGCCGCCGCCGCCGCCGGAGACGAGCCGCCGGTGCGCGGCCGCCAGACCCCGCCGGGCGCCCCGGCTCCCTCTCCCCGGGCGAGGCGTCTTCCGAGGCGCCAGCACCCGCGCGCGCACGCCTCACTGCACCTGCGGGCTTCGGCCCCCGGGAGAGGTTCTTGGGGGGGTTACCCCGCCTTTTAAAGCAAGGATCTGCATATCCAAACACTGATTACCCAGTTCACTCACTGAAGTTTGCAGTGCACGGGGGCTTCGCAGCAGGCAGCGGGATTTATTCTGTGCCAGCTTTGACTTGACAGGGAACCCGGCTAAGCTTTGCCATCACCATCCTTGGATCCGAAACTGACAGTCTATATCCAGGATGCAAGAGCGAGGAAGAAAGAAACAGATTTTTTTTTTTTTTTTTTGCATAAGTCCCCCAGTCCAAGAAAATGATCCCCCAACTAAACCTTTTTTTTTAATAGTCAACTATTCCCTCTTTCTCCCTTCAGATCCATCTTAATGATATGAAATATGCCCTAAATGCTGTTGGCTGGTTGTTGGTATGATTTGAAAGAACATTTGCTGTTTCCCCATTAAGCCAAAGTGAATATGCAATGGTCATTTTTTAGATGCTCCAATTAGTTGTCGTGTGTGTATTTAAAATTCATATCCTCCGTGAAACCTCTCTTGGCCCAAACACCATAAAGAACTTAGCACTTCTCACTAATCACCAACTTCAATTGCAAGCGTCATAAAAGATTTTTCTGAATCGGAGGAAACGAGACACTAGTGCAGTTGGAGGCAGGAAAGCGTTACCCACAGATGCTCCGGGTCAAGAAGAAACTAAATAATTAACAAGTGGCAAAAATCATGTGCCTCTCCCCAGGAAGGTCTGCGCTAGCTACGGGGTCCCGCGGGCTCAAAGGTCCCGCCTCTAGCCCGGCGTAGGGCGGGGATGCCCGCGAAAACGCTGGGGACCGCGAGCCCCCCACACAGGCACGCGCACGCACACACATCCCGGGCACGGGCCGCCGCGGGTACTAGGGATGTCGGCCCCCAGGGACACGCCGGCCCGCGCGCTCTGCCGCCCTGGTGGTGTGCGGGACTCCCACATCCGATCCAGCCTCGCCCGAGGAGCATCCCCGCTCTCTCTGCCTCTAACCTCTGCTCCGAGCCGGCGCCGCCAGCACGTCCCGAATCTCGCTAGGGCGAGCGAAAAATCTCAGTCTGCCCTCCCCTCCCTGCCTCCCGCACCGAGGTTAGGCTTCGTCCCCGGGCGCAGCGGAGACAGGTTCTTCCTTCACCCAGGGCTCAGGGGGCGGAGCCACACAGCGGCTTTCGGGAACCTTGGCGGTGGGTTACTAGGTGAGATCACCGCACTTGGAAACCGCGACGCCCCAGGGCTCTAGGGCCGTCCCCTCCCTCTCCCGGCTCAGGTGGTCCCCTTCCCTGATGCATCCTGGGAAGTGTAGTCCTCTGAACTCCAGCTCAGGCGGCGAGCTCCCGCAGCCAGGCCACAAGTCCCAGGATTCCGCGCGTCCGGAGGGGGCCGCCGAGAGGCCGTTACCCCCGGTACCAGGGGTTCTGTCGCTGCGCAGAGGCAGGAGAGTACGCTGGGCGACCGCGTGCAAGCGCTCTGCGTCCTCTAGTGACAGAGGTGGACACCCCGCGTGCGTGTGTATCTATGGAGAAGAGCAATGGAGTTGGAATAGAGACACTCTACAGCCACCTTGACAGTTTTGCGCCGATCTCTGAAGGTTACTGCAGCCGGCTCAAGCCCAAATTTGTTTCCTACTTCAGTTTTCCTTTTCATTCAGCTGAGATTGATCTGTTAAAGTGTAGGTCTGCCAAGTTAAAGAAAATGCTGTATAAGAACCAGGCCTTCCCTTGAGCAACCTCCTAAATTAGAGGACTTGGGTATTTAAGGATGAGAAGATTTAAGAAACGAGAAGGTGTTCAAGCCATGAACAACTAACCTCGGCTCTAAGACGCAGCAACTGATGATATTTCTCCTACCCAAAGTGAACGGTGAATTTCACTATATTCTGCAGTAGGCTGTTTTCAAATTGTGGCCACTTCAAAATCCGAGTGATACAAAAGCTGCAAAAAAGGGATGATAGAAGGGATGTTCGGAGCATGTCCCTTCCTTTCCTTTCCCTTTTCTCTCAGTGTAATCGCTTACTCGGTTCTTTAACTACCTAAAGCTTCAGTACAGCTTTCTGAATGGTAAAGATTAGAAGCGCCAGAGTGTGGATGAGCCATGAAGAGGATGTGAACTGGTCTCAAAGTTCTTTTTAAGGAAACATGAATCTACAGATACGTGAGGTGGCACTGAGCTAGCTGATAAGGGCACTACAATGAAAAGTAAAAGAGAAAGAAACATGGCCTGGAAAAGATTTGAAACATAGGCAAAAATATAGATGATCAATAATGCCATGCCATAAGGCAGTGCCAATGAGTTTAGTATAGAGACAATAAATTCTACATAGCAATTCAGCAATGAAGAGCTTTTCCAACTATAATGTCAGGAAACAGTTTATGGAGCAAATAGGAAATACAGATAGAATTGAGATAAGTAAAGAAAATTCGAATAGGGTTCCAGGTGGGTCTCTGGAATAAAAGAGTAGGTACAGAAAAATTAACCTGGAGACACTGAATAGAATCAGTGCAAGAGAGAATTCATGTAAGATGAGAAGAGGACATAAGCCTGAAAAGTTAGACTGTGATTAGAGATGAACCTAGAGGTTTGTACTATATCCTTAAAATAATGGAGAACAACTTAATTGTTTTTCTTAAAAGAGGGGAATAGCAAAAACAGTAATAGTCTAAGCATGCTGTATTAGAAGCTTGTGATAGTGCTTGAGGTATTGCATTAGATGTAGTGGCATTGGTCCACAAAGGAAGGGACATCTCAAGAAAACATGAAAGTATTTGAAAGGAGTCTCCTAAACAAATAAAAATGGATGGAACATAACGTGTTCACTTTCTCAGTTATCTTCAATATAACTAATGACCATCATGCTACACCAGCTTGTAATTTTAGTTAAATGAGTTGGAGGAATAAGTTCTAGGTTTGCCACTTATAGTGTTACCATAGGCAAATCACTAAATCTCTGATCTTTAGCCTACTCATTTAGTTTAATAAAGTATAACAATCCTTACCAGGATGGTTGTAAGAATGAAATGAAATAATATACATGTGCAAAGAGTTAATTTTTAAAGTACTATACAAATGTTAATTATTACCAAATGGCAGTATATATTAACTTCTATTTGAAGAAAATGTGAAATAAGACTTCATAATGCCCTTTGGAAATAAGCAACCTAGATAAGCAAGAGTAAAACTCATAACACTATGTCAATATAGTAAACAGCACTTACTATAAATTCTAGGCAGTGTAAATGGTGTGTTATGTGTATTAAATAACATACTACTTGTCCTAACAATAAGCCTATGAAGTAGTTACTATTATTTCCTTATTTTATAGGTGAGGATACTAAGGTAAAAAAAGGTTCAGTAATTTGCCTAAGGATGTACAACAGCGGTGACAAAGCCTGCATTTGAACTTTGGGCAGTCTTCCTCCAGGGCCTGTTCTTAACCACTGAGAATTATGAAAGAAATTAGTTAGATGATAGATTAAGTTCACCTGTGAATGACAAGCCCAAAGTAGCAGTGACTTAAACTTAATGAAACTTTATTTTTTACAAAAACCTGGAGGTAAGTACAGATCTAGTATGATGGCTCTAATTAAGAGTGCTTGAGTGCCCAGGCTATAGCCAGTATGGCAACGTTCTGCTCTGCTGTCCTGAGACACAGTGGTCCAGGATGGAGGACCAACCACCATATGTACATTCCAAGTGCATTTCCTAGAAGAAAAGGCACAGGATACATGTTGGCTAACTTTAGAAAGAAGGTTCTGAGAAGCTGCCTCTAGTCTTTTCTATTTATAGCCTATTGGTTTTTAACTTAGTTATATGTCCATATAACTAAGGAATTTTAGGAAGTAGTTTCTATTCTAGGTAACCATGTTAAAATAGGAGATTCTTACACAATGGGTAAAGGAGACAGGGTTTTTTACATTCCTTATCTCTTTTAATTCTTGCAACAACCTCATCAGTAGATAACTCCATTTTAATGTGAAGAAACTGAGAACAAGAGAAAAGTGAGTAATTTAACCAAGATTACACAATAAGTGACTAAACCACTATTCCTATACTTCCCAACATAAGACATAAATGTATTATTGCACAATTAATGAGAAAATATAGAGTGAAGCATGAATATATAATTTTCATCCTCAAGTTTCTTAGATAATGAGGAGGGAAATATTCTCAAGAAACAGTAGTAAGTACATAAGGTAAGTTTAAGAATGCATGAATATTCTTACCAAAATACTTCAATTTATAAAATTAAAACAAGAAGGTAAATGTACAGCCTTGGAATGGGAAGGATACTTTTAGAGGAGAAGACCCTCTGCATAACCTTGGGTCTTCAGCAGAAATGGAAAGTTTCACCAGTACCTGCCATCATCAGACCACTGTGCAGACTCAAGAGGGTAAGGCATTAACGCATAGGAGTGAGACACACCTTTGGCTGCATGGAATGGGCTCTGAAACTGTATATGTCGCAGGATCTCAAGAAAGAGCAAAGGCCTGTCCCCTAGCAGAGGTTGTACTCAGTCCCAGTAGGTCTCACCCTTTCCCCTACTCCATCTCTTTCCAATATTAGGCTGCAGAAAGATAGATAAAAAGCAATGCCTAGCCACCAAATTATAGCTTTCAGAAGATCAACTCGTTCCCAGATAAGGTGGGAAGAATGTCAAGAAGGATT